GGCCTGGACCTTGTCCACGTACGAGCGCTGGCTCCCATCTCGGACGCAGAGCTCTGACTTCACTGTGGCATCTCGGCCAGCTCCCTGCTTGCCCTGCTGTCCGGTTTGGAAGGGCAGTCACCAGTCTGGGTGATGCAACACTGATTCCCCTACATGGGAAGTGTATTTTCCTCAAGGCTGAAAATACCACTGCAGGACAGAATGTGAATTTAAGACGGGCTATATCCTGTACATGGATTTGTGTATGTGTATGACGAATGTTTCCTGGAGCTGATCAGCTGTGGGGTTTTGATTATAAATGCTTTATTTCTAGCAGCATTTTCAAAGGAAAGTCCAATAAGGAAATTAGAAGCCGGTCAGTGATGTGTCTCTGTCATGCGTTGTGTCGGGTCTGGTTGTGAAATGCTCTTACATACTGTACCCCGTAATGAATCTATTCGGCACCCCGAGTTGTGGCTGGAAATCTTTTCTAGTTCCGGGAGAGATGAGACGGGTACTGTCACCCAGGTCATGTGTTCGGCAGACCCGTAAACCTGAGGGCCGCTGCCTACAGGCTCAAGTGATTATCTGCTCGATCTACAGCCAGTACATGAAACTCTAAAAACATCCTACTAGAAGTTAGATGGGTTATTAATTTTAAACGGCAGAAGCTTATGCTTGGCAACCTTACTGTAAGCATAAACTACTGTTACCTGAGGTGAAGCCGTCAACTGAAAAAAACGCTAAAAATAAGTGTCAAGGTGCACGGTATTTTACTTCAAATACGTTACAGACATTTGGAGGTGCAATCAGCGATGGAGTCTAAAACCGCGATTCATTTCACATGCATTACATAAACCTTAGATTTAAAAAAAAAACTATCAGAGGTGATGCTGCTCTAAGCAAACCCCTGCTGATTTTGTTGGTGTCCCGTGAATTCCGATGTAACTCGGCGTCGCTTTTCTCGTTCGCCTTCCGTCGCCTTTCTGTCCTTCCTCGGCTGCCGTGGCCCGTGTTGCGCGCGGCCCACGTGGAGCGCGTCCGCGCCGCGAGTGGTGTCGTTATCGATTGAGCTTCTCGTTGCTGCAGAGCGGTGAGTGAGGAGCGGCCGGCGCGCTTAAGGTCTCTTCTTACAAGTCACTTGAGGAGGGATTATGTTTGATATTTACTTATGTTTGATGAGGATGTCAGTCATTTCGATCTTGAAACAGGTGCATGCTGGCGAGTGAAATGTGCTCGGGATTTCACGCGTGTGCACGGTGTACCTTGCCAGTGTAACTTGAGTTTGTTTTGTATGTTATACGTCTCTCTGCTGAGCATCAGATCAGTGAGACGGGACGGGTCGTATATGTCGGTACATACAGTACTACACTCTGGAGCCCAAAAGCAAATGCACTACAGGGGCAATAACAGCAGAAGACGCGCAGCACCTTAGGGCTGCTGTTTCCATTGAATGCAGTGACCAGCAACGCGTGAGGATTGATCAGACACGTCAGTGGACCTGTGAATGTCAGAAGGAGGGCAGTGAGTGCGGTGTGTACCCCGCTGCGCTGCTCTGATCTAACGCCGCTTTTCCCCCCGGCCTGACGAGTCAGGACCCCGCCTGGAGCTGTGTGAGAGCGCAGGGCACCGAGGTGAAAGCTGAAACGCCCAGTCCGGGGCGCCGAGACCGTGTTTCCGCTGTCCCGCCAGCCGCCGCCATGAGCGACAGCGACGACGACCCGCCGCGGCTGTCCAGCCAGGCCCTGGCGGCGCTGCAGGGGTTCTACCAGGAGGAGCAGAGACTGGCCAGCGCGCCCGCCGGCGGCCTCTCCGTGGGGGCTGTGCAGGAGGACTGGGTAGGAGCCTGCAACGGATTGCCCTGCCCGTTGGCTCGGCCCTCTCTGGGCAATTGCACTGTGCCAGACCGGGGCTCTACTCCTCTTGTGGCCTTTCCAGCCCACTGCAGGACTTTGGCATGGCAAGAGTTAATAATAATAATAATTCCTTACACCTACTGTATATAGCGCTTCTGGGCACCCCACTCAAAGGGCTTTACAGGTCCTGGGGATCCCCTCCACCCCCACCTGTGTGCAGCCCCACCTGGATGATGCTCCAGTCCGCTCTCCCCACACACCAGCTCTCAGTGGGGAGGAGAGCAGAGTGATGTGGCCAGTTCGGAGATGGGGATTATTAGGAGGCCATGACCGGTTTTATATTTAGAAAAAAATAACTCCGATTGCTCCTTGGATACTTCAGAAGTCCGGTAGAGTAGTTGGTTGGTGAGGCTCTGAGGATGCCTAGATAGTGACCATTAGGCCAAAGACTTGGTCAGTGTTTCCTGAAGCCGATTATTATCGCATTCTTGTATACCAGTTCAGTACAGTAAACCCTTGCATTGTGACTGCAGGTTTACTGGACAGACTCTTCTGAAGGGGGGGTTCGTCCTTGGTGCTGAATTGCTGCAGCCAGCACACTGGCCGAAGGCCTGGAGCTGAGCTTGGGGTGCGGTGTCGGCTGGCTTGGGCGAGCTCGCGGGCGCCCCGCTGTAGTGTGGTGAGGCTCTGAGCGCCCCCACTGAAGAGACGCAATACATGACTCCAGGGGAAGACATGGACTCCCAGCTGTACGACGCGGATGAGACTGGTCTCTTCTGCCATTTGTAGCTGGAAATTACCCACGTGTACAAGTGCTAGACATCCAGGCCAGGGCGTAGTTCAGCAGGGAGAGGGGCTCAGTGGGACGGGGAGCAGCACAGGCTGACTGCTAATTCAGCTGCACCGGGGGTCCTCGTCCTCGAGGATGAGCGTGTTTTTGAGCTTGACATATCTCATTGGTAATGTAATGGACAGCTGGCAGTACGGTACTGGACACCCCTTTACCCCTGTTAGTCCGGCAAAGCAAGAGCGCGCTGTACTACAGTACCGTGTATTTATATGAACTGCACAGTGCGGGAATATATTCATATATTAATACACAGTGTGGCTGTCCAACATTGCACATATTCTCATATAAAAGTGTGATTTTTGGGCTGAAAAAAAAACGTGATTAGTGATTGAACAGCTATCCGTCAATCGCAGATGCCTGTTCCCCCTGTTACGTTTCCTGAGTGCACTACGCCCAGGGTTTCGTGTGCTGTGATTAATTTGACCGGCTCTCTTGTACCTCGTCCGCAGCGCATGAGCCAGTTCTGGTACAGCGAGGAGACGGCCGCGCGGCTGGCCGAGGAGCTGCTGTCTGCTGTGGGGGGCAGGGGCAGGTGAGCCTCCTGCTGTTTTTCTCCTCTGTGCATTTCTGAGTGGACGCCCGCAGTCTCGCCAGAAGGTCTTTTAAGACTTGAAGATGTTTTTATGGCCCTGTGACATCCACGCTCAGTCCTCTCAAGTTTGGTGTATGATATGACTACGTAGGCCGACAGGAATAAAGTCATCTGCCTTTAACCCACGTGTTCCCCTTTCTGCAGAATTGCCTGTGTCAGCGCGCCCAGTGTGTACCAGAAGCTGAAGCAGCAGAGAGGTGAGGAGGTGTCTGTGGTCCTGCTGGAGTTCGACAGGCGCTTCTCCGTCTACGGGCAGGACTTTGTGTTCTATGATTACAGCAACCCCCTGGACCTGCCTGAGGACATGGGGGTGCAGAGCTTTGACATTGTGATAGCCGACCCTCCTTACCTGTCTGAGGAGTGCCTCAGCAAGGTGGCCCTCACCGTCAAATTCCTCACCCGGGGGAAAGTCCTCTTGTGCACCGGTAAGCAGTGAGCACAAAGCTGATGTGCTTGAAGCCACCTGCGAGCTCTCATCTGCCCCTCTGTCAGTTTTGTGAAAGTGGGTATTGAACTCTTGGCTGTATCGTGGGTCCTTGTTTCATAAGGAATAGATGTAGATCAGGTGAATGTTTCAAAACCGCAGAGGCTAAACCTCTCACATTTTTTACTTGGTATGCAGAGAGTACAGCGAAAAAGTGTTTCACTTGGATGAGACTTATTCCGGGGGAGCTGAATTATTTCATGACTTCTCTAAATTGCTTCTCAGACATGATTGAAGTTCTGCCTGGCTTGAACGAAGCAATAAATGGAAATGGGGATACTGCTGTCAACTGCTGTTCTGTGTGGGGAGGAATGTGACTGGCTTTTTAGTGCTTCTCAAGGGTCGTTCCCCCTGCATTACCAATTGCACGATGAGTGTGGAGTATGAGCAGTAGTTTTTTCCAGTAAAGCCACTTATGAGCACGAAGCTCTCCCCGTTGATTCCTTACACCAGAAGATCGTTGGGTAGTCTGCAGCACACTGAGCTGAGGATCTCCCCCAGCTGTTTTGTGAATGGCTCTAGCTGTCTAGCACTGGAATTCTTTCAACAGATAAGGCATTGTTTCTTTCCTGTATAGGTGCGATCATGGAGGAACAAGCAGAAAAACTCCTGGGTGTCAAGATGTGCAAGTTCCTTCCCAAACACAACCGCAGCTTAGCCAACGAGTTCCGATGCTATGTGAACTATGACTCTGGTCTGGACCTGTGATTTCGGCTGGACTGCTTTGCTCCTGGCTGCCTTCTTCCCTGCCAACGCCTGAAGGTTTCACCTGCTCCGCTGTTTCATGGAAAGTAGGAACAGGTTTCGGAGCCAGATGTAATTGCCTCCACTTTGTCCGTTTCGCTCGGTTTCTTGTCTTTCTTGGCGTTTGCTTCCTCGCTGACGTGTGGGAGTGCAGCGTTGTCTCTCAGGCAGTTCCACACGGTGTCCGCCAGCAGGGCTGCAGACCTTCGCTCTCGGCTGGTTCCCCCGTGACAAACTGAAGTGTGTCTGGAGCCACAGAGCAGTAACCTCTGGCCGAGCGCTTTGGGTGGATTAGTGCTCCATGGCCTTTGCCGTCCTGGTGAGACACTCTGCCAGCTTGCAGCAGCTCATATTGTCAAGAGGGTCAAAGACTGGTCCAGGGGCGTCACTCTCTGCCTTTCTACAGGGTAATGCACACCGCTGGGAAGAATATATTCAGGAATGTTCCCCAGATAAGAAGTTTTATATTTTACAGTTTAATACAAAAAAATGACAGTTAGAACTTAGTGATGTGTTAGAGGATGTTTTAGTTTCTAGTGCATTTTTCACTCTGTTTCAACCAGCTGGGATTGTATTTTGCCAGACTAAAAATAGTGGTTAAATACTCCACTGTACTAAGAGAAACGAGCAAATGAAGGGAATAATCGTGCCTTTAGCTGTAGAATTCTTGCACACATTAAAAATGGCTGTACCCTATTTGTACATGCCCAGGAAAACCTTTTTAAACCTAAATTGAGGCAGGATCAGACCTACGTGCGGTCAAGTGTGATGAGCAGTGCAGGTTAAATGATGACTTTAATACAGTGTTTGCATTTGCCTTTCATTTGTAAGCTACTAGTCATGTATGCAAAGTACAAATTCCTTGTATTTTATTTCTCTTTAATATTTCTAGTTTGCTGTTTGCTTTAAAATTTTGTATAATTCTTCATTTTGAAAAAAATATCCCTTTAAGTTTTTATGTCTTAATTTGATTGTGGTTTAATGTTTCTTTATTACGGGAAATATACAAATTAAATTAAGTCTGTTAAGTCTGAAAAGACTTAATACAGTGTCACACTGCAGAAGGGTCATTGCTCTGCTCTGTGAAAACTAGTCTCTGTGTCTCTTTCCCTTTCACCTGGAGTCACACGCATGGATGTACTGTATGCTCTCTTTCTTTGTATACCTTCTCAATCTTAAGCGATGCTGTGTTTGCCAGCTGTCTGTCTTGGACCTTGTAGGAAAGAGAGAATTGATACAAAGCTTGTGTATAAAAGTTACACCTATGATTATTATTAAATATTATAAATTACTTATGATGATAATTGTGAAACTTTAGTGCCAGAAGATACAGAAATGTGTAATGCTATCCAGTCCTTATAGGCCTTGCAGATTTAGAAATGACACATTTTCAATGTAGGCTTGCTTCACATTTGTCACCCTCTCCATTCAACCAGCCATAGTTCTCCTCCATTCTGCTCCTAGGAATTTAACATGAGGGAAGGACAATTTTGGAAAACATTACTGTACTCCACTTATTAGTAAATAGTTTTATTTATTTCATAATGTCAGTACAGATCTTAACAGGTGTTCAGAAACATTAAATATAATTCTGATACATCAGATCAAATTATTTCAACCAGCTCAATTAACATTTAATATATGAAATTGACTTACTGGGGAAAAGGCACAATATTGAAGTTTCTCATCATCATAATCATATCATGATTGTTAGTCTATACGGAGGAGCAAAAGAAGCATCACGGTTTATGCATGTACATTTTCAGATAAGTTCTGTAGTTCAAGCAGGGCGCTTTGTCAGCATGCGTAGGGCTGCAAAGGAACAAGTAAAGGTTTATTCCCTGCTGAAAAAAAGAAGCAAGAAAGAAAACACAACGTTTCTGCTGTGGAGCCTTCTCCGGGTGTTCCACAGCCGAAACATTGTTTTCCTTCTGCTCTTTCCCGCATGGAATAAACCTATTACTTGTTCATTTTCAGAGAAAGCATGCAGATTGTGTATGTTGATATGTGTTTTGGCATCACGTTGATGAACAGATGGATCACGCCCCCCCGTGCCGTCGCCCTGGCAGGAGTGCAGGTTGAACTGGGATTGCTCTGTGGCATCTAGGCATTCCAGAGCAGGGACCAGCCGCCCGCTTGCCCAGGCTCGAGGAGCGCACTGGGACAGATCCAGACCGAGCGGCACGTGAGCAGCTGGCCGTGATGCCTACAGGCCACGCTCCCTCCTCGCCTGTTCGATTCCTCAGCCCCCCTGCAGACGACTGTCCATCGGCGGCAGGAATCTCCTCATGCACGACTGGTCCCGTGACAGACCCGATCGTCATTTTCCTTTTGGAATTTGGAATTGCAGCTTCCAAATGCTCAGTGAGGATGTTTTTAATGACTATACAAACTTTAGTGGAAACCGGGTTCAGACATTTGGAGAAAAAAAAATGATCGCTGAGCATATCTGTTGGTTTGGGAAACGTCCGCTCTTTATGAAATAAATTGGTTTGTCCCTCAGGAGTAAAGTCACGCTGGAAAATAAGCAAGCAGGTGGCAAATCTCCGACTGTCCTTTGTTTCTGCTTACCTGGTGTCCCCTGACTGTGGTGAAGGAGGGAGTTTAAATGTCTCTTCACGGGCGGGGGGGGCACGGAGACGGGAGAGGTGGCCGCTCACGCTGGCCGGCTCCAGGTGTCGTTGCCGGGCCGGTCCAGCTGCGGGACGCAGGTGCAGCCCACCGCCAGGGACACGTAGCTCTCGGCGTAGGCGTAGCGGCCCCCGGCGCAGGAGGGGGCGCGGCGCAGGACCACCGCGGGCATGTAGACGGGCGTGCTGCGGTACAGCATGCTCTCCTGCCCGCGGGGGCCGCTCAGGCAGCCCTGGCACAGGCAGTAGGCCTCCGGGATGTACCTGGGGTACCTGCTCGGGTCGTGGGAGATCCTGGGGGCGCAGAAGCGGGGCCTCGTTAGGAGGAGCGTGCCAGGCTGGCTTCGTGGCCCGCAGGTACGGTAGTACATATTCGACTGCCCCACCCGGCCGGTGGGTTAAAGCAGCAGCTTGCCGGTGGCCTGCGGTCAGTCACGCTGTCTTTACGTTAGCTCTGCCGACCCGGGGTTCGGAAGAGAGCACAGACGAGAGGAGGCCGTGGAGCAGCTCGGCGCTCAAGTGAACTTGAATCTCCTCAGGCCACGTACCCCAGAGGAGCCCCGAGTCTGGGCTTCAGCCGCCTGGCTGGGATGTCAGTTGTAGTTCAAGAGAAGAAGTGTTTGCTGTTCTCCTTCCTAAATGACTTCCCTTTTGTTTCAATACTCAGTGGCTCCCCTGTATTGTACCTGTCTTTACCTCTTAGGATTCTGTATCTTTCTCATTCAACCTGCCCACATACTGTATGACCATCCCCTGCGATCAAGAATCATCCCCACTGGTCTTTGAACTCTGACGCTATAATATGCATTTTGTGATCTGGAGCCAAAAACTAAAGACAGTAGTCTAAATGAGATCTCTGTAAGTAAGTGCATGGTAAAGTTTAGCCATTATCTCTCAGGATTTAAATTCCAGTTTTTGCTATAATTACAAGCTTTCTATAGGCTTTTTTCTTGCTTCCCCATATGATCTTGATGAGGATGTAGCGGTAGCTGCATGAGCATCCCTATTCCTTAGTGCACAGATTCCTGAAACTGGGAGTTGACATGTGATGTGTACTGTATATCACGTCAGATGGTCTTATTATAGTACCTGTGCAGGTTTATTCGTTGGATTTGTTCCAGGTCTTTCCAGAATTCTCTCACTGCTGCTTCTCTCTCTCTCTCTCTCATCTGCACATTTAACTGGCTGGGTAACTGGAGCATCATTTCTAATGGGCTCAACGCTGCTTCTATGATTTTGCCTGATCACTTTTGTTTACAAATGTAATTATCACCTGGATGATGCACAAGTACTCTCACCAGCTCTCAGTGGGGAGGAGAGCAGGGTGATGAAGCCAGTTCAGAGAGGGGGGTTATTAGGAGGCCATGACTGGTAAAGGCCAGGGGGAAATGTGGCCAAGACATTGGGGTAACACCCCTACTCCTTTCGAGAAACACCCTGGGATTTTTAATGACCACAGAGAGTCAGGACCTCAGTTTTATGTCTCATATGAAGGACAATGCCTTTGTTCCAGTATAGTGTCCCCCATCACTATACTGGGGCATTAGGACCCACACAGACTGCAGGGTGAGCGCCCCCTGCTGACCCCACTAACACCTCTTCCAGCAGCAGCCTCAGCTTTCCCAGGAGGTACTGGCCAGGCTCACTGCTGAGCTCCAGGGGGCTGCCAGCTGGGGGCTGCAGGGTGATATGGCTGCTGGACCCTCTTCCATTGTAGATTTCGATAAACGCGAGGAATGAACACCCTGCTCACCTGTACGCCCAGGGAGAGATGCTGAGCAGGTTGACGGGGAGACGAGACTTCGTGTCCGGAGCGGGCCGCCCGGAGGCCGGACAGGTGATGTTCTCCTTCTCCAG